TTTAGTCCCTATTTTTTTGAATATTGATATTAGTTAATCAAAAATTTAGTCAAATATACTAGTAGTTAGCTAACTAAAATAGTTGATTTCCAACCTTTAGGTTAAACCATGGCGAAACTACATTAAAATCTTACTAGCAGTTATACCAAAATTCAGCTATAGGTATTTTCAGCGATTTTCCAATACTATTTCAGAGCTTCGCATACACCAGTCTACTGAAAACTCCCTATTTTCAGCAAGCAACTTTAGCCAGGACCAGTATATGAAATTGAATTGTCCGAGTTTGTGTTGCATAAGAAATGCGCACATTTGTTTGATGACCAATAAACGATTTATTATAATTATTTGATATATAAATTAATATCTGTACTTTGTTGCTTGAAAATTTTCTGCGCGACATTTTTCTTTTTTTTTTTTCATAAAATTTTTAAATTTTATTACAAATGAAAAAAATTAGGATCTCCAATAAACTATTGGCTATCTTTAATGTAACGCAAATACAGACATTCAATTTCATACACTGGCTAGGGTCCCGAACAATCTTGGAAGGTTATATATATATATATATATATATACATTTGAAAAAGTAATCCATTTTATTACCATTTTTGAAAATAATTTACAGGGGTCTTTATCCTAATACTAACCAAGAAATGATAATTGAAATGTTCCTAATTTAGGGTCCCTGCGTAGCCTATGAAAAAAAAAGTTCAATTTAATTGAATTATCTAAATAAATAAATTTTAATTATAAAATCACGTGAAATACAGTTTTGGAAATACCCTTTAAAAATTTTATTGCATTATCGAAGATTTTGAAACTGACATTTTGAAAACTTGGTAGCATGATGCAGCAATAGGAGGTGTCTACAGGACCAGGATTATCACAGTTGAGATAACATTCTGGCTATTAGAAAACTACACCCAAATTTTTAAGCATGTGACATTTTCTCCCGTTTACCAATTCCATTTTAGCAATATACCATGCCAAAAAATTAAAAACTTTATCAATATAAAACATGTAACTTCATATGTAACCATCGAAAAAATAATATTTAGATTTTTAATATATTATTATCCAATGAAATTTTATCTAAGGAATTAAAAAACATATAGTTGTTGATGTTCACTTATTCTTAATAAGCCCATATCTGAATACTAGTATTAAATAATAAGCAGGGTCTTTAGAAAATTTACCTGAAAAGGAAAGATCAAAACTTTCTATATCAATTACAATTTAACTATTTATTTATTAAAAGTCTTTATCCAAATTTTCATATAACTTCAGATGTTACCTCAAATTATGATGACTCGGGGCCCTATGTCTGTAATAGACCTAGTGATTTTATTCCTTTAACTTTTTATGTCACGTTTATTAAACTAAGAATATTCAAATACGTGTAAATTTAGATGGGGTTTGATTGAAAAAAAAATCATATTGTTCGTGCGGAGATAGTGATTGTTGTCCACGAGGCAAGAGAAAGTTTACGTGGTAGTACAAGGCTAAAAAAAATAATCAAGCTTAAAAGGTTAGAATAATGGAGACAAAAGTCCGTCCGATCAATATCTAATTAATAAACATTTTGATAAATTCGGAAGTTCTATTTATTGATGTGCATTTAATAAACGCTTATATCCATTCATAATTAGTTGAATAAACATTTAATACTTTATAATCAATTAATTATTAAAATGCTTATTAGGCTTAATAGCTTAGAAAGTATGTTACGTGTATTCTAAAAATAGTAAATACAAAAATTTGGAATATGTATATTATCAATGATTTAATGGATTAGATTAAATTTGTTATTGATGCAATTGAATTTGTTTTAGATAATTTTGATTGGATTTAATTGTAATCGATCAACATTTAAAAATTGATTAAAGCTAGATAGGAAATATTGAGCGCTTATCTGAAAAAAAAATAGAGGGATAGCCATTGACTAGCCCCACAATCCATTGTCGAGATAATTTAAAAAAGCTTACTGGTTTCAAGGTTATTTGCTTTTAAAAAAATTGTTTTTATATGTCACATATAAAAATTTCCAATTTGAAACATTTAATTTGTGATACATGATAGAAGTACACAGTGAATCTCGATTTAGCGGATATTAATCAAAAATCTCGGTTTTACGGATAAATTTCAAAGAACGATTCCATAATAAAACTTAATAAAAAGCTTCTCGATATAGTGGATATTAATCAAAAATCTCGGTTTTACGGATAAATTTCAAAGCTAACAATTCAGGAACTAATAATTTTTTTAAAATTATCTCGACTATGGATTGTAGAACTAGTCAATGGCTATCAAATATCGTCTCTATTTTTTTTTTCAGACAAGCATTCAATATTTCCCTAATTAGCTTTAAAGTTATTTGATGTGTTTGGATGACCCATATCATAGTCAATTTTACTTTTTCAGTGTACTTTCTTCTGTTCATTCATAATTTCGTAAATTTGTTTGTCATGGATGTATTGTTTCTCTTGAAAATAATGGATTTAAGTTAAGATCATATTTACCTGATTTATTATTATTTTAATTTATTCGTAAAATTTCGATTATTATTTTTTTATTATTAATACATCAATTGGTTAATTTCTTTATTGTTGGCCAAAGTTATATACAGTGCTTTAAGAAAAAAATTGGCCTGTAAATGATTTTCTAAAAAACTACCCAAAACCCAAAGCCACATTATGAAAATTATATTAGATGGTTGAGAAATTTAAATTATTGCATATAAAAAAATTTCGAAGCATATTATTATGTAGATTTTAGGGCGATTAAAATACTTTACATAAAAATTTTTCTTTTCAAAAATAATCAAATTCCTTTAATTTTTAACTGATAAAGTTCAGAAAATATGGATACATATAATTTTATTCCATAATCCTCAGAACTTAAACTACAAATTGACACATTTTTTTGTATAATTATTATGCATGTTTTTGTGTTAGAGCAATTGTTAAAAAAATTACATGTTAAAATTTCAGAGACAAAAAAAATTTAAAAAAGAAGATATGGTCTGGCCTTACAAAAAATTGGCAATATTATTTTGTATTAAGTTTTTTATTCAATAAAGTAATTGTTTGCTTTTAAACAAATTAATTTTATTTAATTATCTTGTGTATTTGTTGAGTAAATTTGATTTTTTATCAGGCCAATTTTTTTTTTTAACACACTGTATATAATAATTACTATATCACATCCCAGACAATTATGATACAATCGATAAAAACAATTAGGTTTGCCAATTTTGCTTACTCACAAAGAATGGCTAGCATCGAGAAAGGGCCGAAGGATACAAAAAAACGAATGATGAAAAACTGGAAAAATTCGAAAATTCTAAGAAGGCAGAAAAATTGAATGAGTTGGGGAGGAAGTTGAAGAAAATAGAGTACGAAAACGAAAAGAGAAATTTGAAGGAATCTAAGAAAAGAGAGATAAGCAGAAAGAAGGTGTTCGGAAATGGAGAAATACATAGGAGAATTGTTAAGAAAACAGAAGACAAGGCGTAAGATACATTGTTTGCAACGTTGATTGGCTAGTTCATGTTTTCTTCGATTCGCTACCGCTATTTGTTACCAGACATTTCTTTAATGAGACGCCCTATTACTATAACAAATAACATATGGAATTTTTGTATGCTAAGTAAATACCAAAAAGAATAAATGTGTATTTTTCGAGATCATCACTAATTAATCAGAAACAGACCTTTTGTGTTCGCGCACGTGTCCAAAGAAACATTGTATGTTTTAAAAATGGGTCTGATTCATTTCATCGACAGTTCGTATGATTTTGGCGTAACATACGCATTGATTGTAGGAATCATGATTTCAGAAGCATCAGGAAATTTAGATAAAAAAGAAAATTTGGATAGTAATTAGTTCGCAAGCATATTAATGACTGAATTTTATGCATCTTGAAAAGGATCATCGTCAGTAAAACAAATATTTCCTGAGTTTTGATTCAAACGAAACCTCAATACTATTCATTAGCATATTGTCAATTTGTCTGATTCATACTTTTAAAAACAATAATTATCATCAATTATTATAATCACCAAAATAATTGGTGACAATATCATCACCATCACTATCATCGCATGTAAACTAACTGTCAGCGAAGTATTTGTCGACAAAATGAACTGTTGACGAAATGTGTGTCGACAAAATGATTGTCGATAAAGTGATTGTCGACGAAGTGAACGCGACCGATATAAGCAACAGTAATAGTAAAATACATGTACTAAAAAAGAATAGCATCCTACAACAAATATTTTTTTACCAAAAAATCTATTCATTACATTAAAGCTAAAGCCTATTCTTGTAAATATTTTTTTCAGGTTTTCACGCTTTTCCATTGAAAAGCTCCCACTTAGTTTTTAAGTTTGTTACGCGAATATGATCATTTGATTGTTATCACTGGTGTGCGAATAGGCATTTATTGGTGGCAGTGATCTGAACTCTATATTTATTATTATTATTGGTAGTGGTGACAACAGGACTTTCATACGGTATCAGTATCATTGGCGAAGATATGATCAATGCATATCCAAGGATTTAATAAAACTCGTGTAGTTACGAATTATCTTCTACTCTAATTGTTATAATAAAAGATGACGATAATGCTTTACCCTTTGTCTCTATTAACAATATCATCATAATCATTACCATTATACTATAAAGCATCATTTGCTGTAATGAGACGAGGGATATATTAGAAGAGTTGCAGAAAACGTAAAATTATAATTTTTTTGTCTTTACAAATCATATTCATATGTTGTTTATTTATTGTGTAAATTGTTACATATATTTTGAAAATTAAAAATAAATTAATAAAATTCATAAAGCTAACATAGGGTCTTACAATGCAAATTAGTGTTGTTGCTTATTTATTATTTATTTTTTGATAAAAAAAAATTTTATGCTAAAATACCACACCACTTGATTATTCGTCTTGTAAAAATTGTTGAAATTCTTCTAGGAAGTTTTCGCCATTATTTAAATTTGTAGTAATGTCAAATTTGGCGGATTGGTATAAGGCATTAGTCTTATTAATGTAATAATTAGTAAGAAGAGTATTGTATTCAGACAAAATAGAACATGGAAGAGAAGAAATGGAAAATGATGAGTTTGGATTATCATTTGTGTAAGAAGAATAAGAAGAAGAAGGGTACGGGTAAGGTGGTATTGAAACCACACAATCGTTATTATGAAGATTATTATGATTTTGTATTTGTTGGAGTTCTGGTTGTGAGCTTGTATTATTGTTTATGCAAGGAGAGAATGAAGAAGAATGTGGATATGGTGATGGTGAAACTGCAGAACCATTATTATCTATTTGTTTTTGTTGTGACTCTGGTTGTTGGGTGATAAAAATACAATTTTTTTGTAGTCGACTTTCATAAGTTAATCTATGTTTTTGAAGAGCTAGTTTTGCTAATACTTTAAAGTAACTTTTTACTTTATCTGATTCATTATTCCAGGCATTACCGGCTTCCTTTGAAAGAATTTTCCAATCCTTATTACTCCTAGGAGATTTATGTTTTGCAATATAATTTTTGCGGTATAAGAAAAAACAGTTTTGAGATTTTGGGATACTGATAGAATCAACATTGTTGGGATTGGGTGAAATCAGTTTAATCATTTGTACATGTAGTTTAGAAGGAGGATTGAGTATGAGGTAAGCCTCATCGTCATTTAGTTGTGCTTTATCAACATATAAGGATATTTCAGGATTCATATGTGTTCCGTAAAGTATATATTGTTTTTGTTAAATAATAAATTTTGTTATTCGTACTTGTGATATTCAAAATTGAAAATGTTTTTATTGTGAAGAACAAAATGGAAAAATTCTTCTATTCAAATCAAAAATTAATTTTTAAGAAAGAAATTTATAAAAATTCTCAATTAAAAAAGTATATTTATATGGTTTTTTTTTCGAGCTTGCGATATTTAATGATTTTATTATTATCAATAGGAAACTTTTTTTGCCGAGATTTATAACTTGCTCTATACGGAAATTATTATTAAAATATTAATTAATCGAATGAACTTTGTGACACGACGAAATCTTGAAAAAAATTTATGGAATAAAGCATTTATATATACAGTATATATATTTAATATTTAGTATAGTAATAATTTAAAACGATAATAAAAAACAAAAATTCATATAAATTTTAATATAATTGTTATTTTTCAAAATATCGATTTTTTTTTGGAAAACAAAAGATTATTTATAGGACCAACGGAAAGTCAAGACTGATTAATTCTATTTACACTCTCAATAAATGCTCAATTTTTTCAACATGTGCTTGTCGAATTGAATGGTTGTTCATTTTACAAAAATCTGCAACCACAACATATTTTGAATTATTATTAGTGAGCAGGGATTCGATTTTTTTTTTGCGATTGCACATTACTATTATTTGATTTATTTTCTCCCAAAGTTTTGTTGCGTAGCTGGTCATAAAAACAAAAACATTAAATAATGTTTGGATATGGGATGCACAATAAATGATTATTTGTTTGTCAAATCCCCTTTATCTTTTAATCATATCAATATATATGCAAAATAATAAAATATCGAATTTTCTTTTTTAAATTTATTATTTGTAATCGATTTGTTATTGTTGCAATTAATAATTGCAATATGTCGTTGAGTCTTCAGAAATCATCATTATGAACAAATTTAGAACTTATTTAAAAATGTCTGATTAAATGCTCAGTGATTAACGTGGAACAAAAAACAACATTAACATTTTTATAATGAAAAAAGTTTTAAGCTCAATGTAAATTTCAAAAATTCGGTACGGTGTTAAAGTCTGACTTTTCAGTACGCACTTGTTAATTGGTCATTTATTTATTTATTTTTTCTTCGTTGATATTATTTGTTATTATTTTTTCATTTTAAATGAACCAAAACAAAAATATTGAAAAGATGATTCTGGACCTTGATCACAAAAAAAAAACAAAGCAAAAATACAAAAACTTTAATTTAAATAAGAAATAAGAAATATCAATGCGCATATTAGTGGAAGCTAATAATGTTCAAACTAAATTAGATCGTGTATAAAATACTTTATCTTAAATCATTCATAATTGTGTATATCTTCGGAAAGACAGACTTTAAATTTGTCTAATTTGATAATTAATATGCTATGCATGCTTAAACACTTTAGAGAAATTGATGTAACGTAAATAACGTGAGCAAATCATGCGATGAGATAAAAGTAAGTATATTTTTATTGCCATTTATTTCATTTTTACTGGTTGTTATATTTACAATAAAGTAAAGTAAATTTCACAATCACTGGTTTTCTGTCAACCAGAACAGTTGGTAATAATATTACAAATATTGCTTTATTATTATAGCAAGCTTTATTACCGTCTATTATTTTATCCCTGTAAAAAAAATATATGTTATTTGAATTTTAATTCCAGAAAATTTCCACAAATTTGCAACAGTGGCAAAGCTTGACTTTTCTCTTGTAATCTTTCTATGATTTTTCCATATATTCTAGAGAAACGTGTAATTTTAAATCATGGATCTGGGTTTTTACAGGGGATTCAGTTTCAGTAATCGGCTATTCAGTGACTGATGATAATGATAAGTGAAAAAATACGGTGATAATAATAATAATTGGAATGATAAAGATGAAGTTAAAATTTTAAGTTTAACATTTTAGTACATTGATGCCAAGAGATGTAATACATAATATATAATGCATTGCGATTACCACATTAAGTTAATAAACTATAAGTAAATGTTCCTAATTTGTCGAATATTTTATTTTCACTATTTATTTGATCGTGCCGATTTTGTGCAATGTAATAAGGATTCGTAATAATTATAATAATGATGATATTCAAATGAATGATATGGTGATTAATTACTGTATTGGGTCAAAATAATATCAATGTGAATGCGTGAATATAGAAAGTAAAGAGGTGGTGGAAATTTGTGAATTTATGTAGATGCAGGAAATAAATGTGGACGTTGAATTAAAAGAAAAAATGTATGAATAGACAAATTTTTTTCATTGTCTTTGGAAAATTGAAAAGAACCAAATTCACAATAATAAATAATAAATATTAATTCAGTTATGTAGAATGTATATAGAATGTAGAATGTAGAATATATTTATCAATGCTCAGTGAGTGTTATTCATTGGGTGCACTTTCTACATATAAAATTTCAAAAATTCAGTACCTTACAATATATATATTGCGCCATACTAAAAAGTCTGGTATTTGAATACGTACTTTTCCCTTGCCATTTGTTTTTTCATTTAAAATGAAACTTTAAATCATTGACGAAATTAAATTTTCTTAATTTTCTTAAAATAGTAAAAAAAAATGGTTCGATTAATATTTATTACACCAAAAAAATGAATTTTAATTCGTGATTTGAATATTAATTTTTGATTAAATCATGTGATACATATTTATGTTAAAAAATAAATTTTATTTAAATAATAATATGGAATGCTAATAACAATAAAAATAAAAATATGTTGGTAAAAATCAAAAAAAAAACAATTCATTCATTTAAAACGTTGGCATTATAATAAACTTCCGTTCTTGTTTGCACTTGTTCTTGAGAATTTTGTAAGAAATTTCACTTTTTAATCTTGACATTTCTAATTACTTGAAAATCAATATCTAAATTTTTTGCTGTACATATTTAAGTGCTATTTACAGAGCTTTTATGGCTTCTATATTAGTGATCATTGGCTCAGGTTCATTTGTTTCATCATTGTCATCGTCAACTTCATTTTGTCCTTTTACAATATTTACGACTTCTTGTGTTGTCATTTCTTCTTGAACAAGGAGATTTTGGTCAATTGTAACATATTCATTGGCATCTAGACGATCTTGAAAGGGAAGTTGAGTGATCAAATTGTTTATTTCATTTACTTATAACATTCCGTTTATCTTACATTATTATATGAAAAATCCGTTAAATCCGTTAAACCGAGATAAACATAAAACAATTATATAAAAATTTGGTTTTGAGAATTTATCTGTTAAACCCCCAAATCCGCTATATCGATACTCATTCACTGTGTAGTAAATTGTGGTGGATCGTCAGATTGTTTTTACCAGCACACATTATAAATATTACACAGGATATTAAATAACATAATGCAAAATTTCAAAGACTGTTTTGATATATTTTTTATTATTGTTTTCTTTACAAAATTTTGACTTTGCTACTTGGAAGCCTTGGATTTCAGAAAAATGTGGCGCAGTATCTAATTCTATCACGAATCACAAATTAACTTAAATAATATTAATTAATATTCACATTACATGACACAGTATGTCTTACCAAATTTGGTAAAATTTGATTTTCGGGAAGGTCTTTTGAACGAAAATATATTAAAATCTATTTATATTGGTAATATACTATTTCCTAATTTATTATTCTATTGTTCTATTCGCTTTTATACATCCATCATCTATAACAATAATGACAAAGTAATTGATTTATACTGTTAAAATATTAACCATATACAAATAGAAAGTGAGAAAAAAGAGATTTTTTATCACAATTTTGATTTCGTTGTTAATTTTAAATTAGGATCATTATTGTGAAATACTAAACGATCGATCAATGAGCAGGTCCTCAATTTGCTTAATTAATCATTGATGATTAATTGCATAAAAAAATTTTTTTACATTTCACTACCAAAAATCAAAAAATTATTTAAACAAACACGCAATCAAATATTAACCCAGAGTTGATATTATATTTGTATTTCTCGTCATTAAATGTTGGTTCTCAAAAATCACGCTTCATGCCTAAAATTTATGAAGAGGAAGTGATCAATATATTTCTAGTATTAGTATGTTGAAATTTCCTTCAGCGTAACGGGATTTCTAAATGTCGATATAATAATAATAATTTTACGGTAGTCATCATATTAAAAATAAGCTCGTCATATGATGAGTCCAGTTTCAAACTTCTATTTCATATTCTGCTCCCTGATCAAACCCGATTAAACGTTTTCAAATGACAGTATATGAACAGGTCTTTATAATAAAAGATATTTATAATATACTGTATGTATATATTTTTTTGATAACGTGTATGGAATTTAAAGAGTCAGTAAACTTAACAGCATATAAATGAACAATGAACCTGATAATGTTACAGATAAGTTGTATTAAAATATTTTTACGAAAAAATTTAAGGATTGAACTTGATTGTTAACTTTTTTTGATATATTATAGAACTATTTAGTGGTAGATGCAAACATGTCATTTTTACTATTCACTTATTAATAATACTCGTTTTTATTTAACAGATATGTAATTAATTTAATTATTCGGATACCATATATTGTTTGCTTGTTTATATAATATAATACGTGGATGGATGTATTGCTTAGAGGTTGGAATTGACTAAAATAGTCGACGAAACTTTTTTTTGAACAATTAATAGTCGACTATTTTAGTCGATTAAATAGTCAACTATTTTAATCGATTATTTAGTCGACTACTAATACTATGCTAATAATATTATTGTCTGACCAATTACGATTTTTGTGTTTTATCATTCAAAATGGAAAATTTTTATGTGGAAGAGTATCGATATGATGATGACGACAATAGTACCAAGAATTTCAGGGATCAAAATTTAGTTATTTGTAATGTGATTATAATTAACAGTTTTATAATGTCTGTGTGTTGTTGATGATAATTTTACATGTGAATGAATGAACACTTCCAATA